CCAAAATAATCTTTGGTTGTTGTTTTGTCATGGTTGTTGTTAAGATGATCTCACTATATAGCCCAAGCTCACAATCCTCCTGCCACAACATCCTGAGGGCCAGATTTAGGTTATGCCCAACACTCAAAACTATCTTTTAAACTTTTTGTATGTAAAAGGTAGGGATTTTTTAAATTTCTGAAATGTTATTAATTTGACAGGACAAAAGGATCTTTGAGATAAGTATACATCAAATCATTTCTCTCCTATTTTCAAATCCCTTGTCTTAGTTACTTTTCTATCGATGTGCTGAGTTATCATGACCAAGGCAACTTATAGATGAAACAGCTGACTAGATACCTAGAGTTTCAGAGGATGAGTTCACGATTAGTGGGGACCATGGCAGGCAAGCAGGCAGGCAGGCATGGCACTAAAGCAGTAGCTAAGAGCTTGCATCCTGGTCTACAAACATAAGGCAGAGAGCTAAGTAGGAATGGTGTGGGCTTTTAAAATCTCAAAACCCACCCTCAGTTACACACCTCCTTCAACAAATCCACACCTCCTAATTTTCCCAGGTTCTGCTGTTAGAACAGCTTTCTCTGCACCTGTCGCCTTCTCCGAGTTCTCCGCCTTCTCCGAGTTCTCTTTCATTTATCCCGTAACAAGTTACTTTCTAAGTTTTAGTGAGGTTTGCCATTGGGCTCTATCATGTGCAAAGACTGACTGTATCTGCCTGTTTTATGCAGGGGCTAAGAATGCAGCTCCATCATAGAACAGTTGCTTCACATCCTGTGAGGTGAGAAAGGAGGAGGAAGAGGAGTAATGCAAAAGCATTTCTTTTTAAAAGATTTTTTATTTATTATGCATATAGTGTTCTTTCTGCCTTCATGTATGCCTGCACTCCCAAAGAGGGTACCAGATCTCATTATAGATGGTTGTAAGCCATGGTGTGGTTGCTGGGTTTTGAACTCAGGACCTCTGCAAGACCAGTCAGTGCTCTTAACCTCTGAGCCATCTCTCCAGCTCCAGCACTACCTTTCTTTATGCACATAGTCTACTTTAAAGCCAGGGGTTAACAGTCTTTCTGTCTCTGCCATTCCAAACAAGATAGAAATCACAGATTCAGAAACAGTGCTGCTTATTTGGTGCCAGAGTTTTTAACCTGGTCCATCTCCCGCTTTATACTGAGCTGGTTTTGTGTGAGTGTTCATTTTCTAGGAAGAATCTCTATTTTCATTAGTTCTTGTAAGAAGTCAGATCCCCGGAAGAAGCTCTGAGCTTTGCATCCTGCCTTACTTATCCCCAGGAGACCAAATCCGAGAAGCTGATTGTGTCCTCTCTGTAAACCACTTGATGTTATGACTTCAGGATGCATCTTGAACCTTGTTTTCAAGAGAATGTTGTAAACAAGCCCTGAGCTTAACAGGCATTTTGTGCCTGGTGAATAAAAATGCATCGTAAAATTTCCTGTCTGAAAAGAGGCATCTGAGATCATTGCACAAAACCCACAGTTGCTTCCATTTAGTTACTAACATTGTTAGTAACTAAAATGTTAGTATTGTTAGTATTGTTCCTTACTACTTTTCAAAAGACCTGAGTATGATGACCCTAGTGTTAGGGACTGTGTACACACTGTTAACTAAGAAACAAAACCTCCAAACATTACTAAGAATTAGGTTCAGATTTAGGGCCTAAAAATAATTCAGTTGTAATGTGAGGAAGACATTGAAACACCATTATTCAGCAAGCTTTTAGAGTATAAGTAGAATATATATGTATGTGTGTATATATATATTAGAGTGTATATGTATGTATATGGTGATAGGATGTACACATCAATACAACTTAAGAATTCTAGGGCACACACACACACACACACACACACACACTGGATCTTCATTAACCAGAATTTTTTTCTTTCTGTTTTCTTGCCAGGAAGGTTTTAAACACATTTCTTCCTTCACTTCCTTCCTTCCTTGCTTGTTCAATGTGGATTTACAATCCTTGCACTTGAATGGGTACAAATCTGCTAACATATGGCCACAAGGACCCCTGCCGCCTTACTTTTTTGAACCTTGAACCCAAAATTCGTTCTAGTGACCCCCCCCCATACTTGTGACTAAGTAAGGCAACTCATTTTCACAAGAAGGGAAGAAAGACGGAAGAAGTAGATACCCAGACGTGGTGAATTCCTCATCTTCTTCCCACTTACACCCATTAGCACTTTGGGGTGCACGTTGGCAGAGGCTGCCCACCCACGCAAACCACAATCATACGGACGCTTTCTAAGATTCTCTAACAAAATCCTCGGAGTTGCCAGTCTGGGACCTCGCCTAAAAAAAGAATTGGCTTGGCGACAATCTCTTAAGTGCCAGTGCCGCGAAGAGCACCCAGGCTGATAAGGCGCGAGCCAAGGCGCTCAGGTGGGGATTCCTGGCACAGCGCCAACACACTGGCGTAGACACAGGAGCTCGGTGGAGCCAAGCCTTGGATTTTTTCACCCTTGGATTCGCTTCGCTGTTGAAGCCATCTGTGTCTCAAAAAGAAGTGAGGGGGGTGCGGAGGTTCGGGGTGTAGCTCAGTTGATAAGAACTGAAGCAGAAAGATCAGAAGTTCAAGGTCATCTTCGGCTACTTAGTTTCACAGGCCAAACCGAATACAGGGAACACTATTCAAATAACAACAACATATTTAGGCTTAAAGCATACTTGGTGATCATGTCCCAAGACAGAGGGAACCTCGGGTCACCAATTTTCCTCAAATACGAAGCAAGGAGGCAATGAGACCCAGCCGGACAGGATTCTCTGCAGACAGCACCCCTCAAAGCTGGTAGTGACTGGAGAGAAGGGGTCCAACTCACAAGACTTGCCCTGGCTGTGAGCCAACGCGCGGCTGTCCTTGACCTCCTGGGCAGACCGAGTCGCGGGGCCAGGGAAATGAAAGTAAAACCTGATGTGGCACGGGCTCAGCGGTAAGTTGACAACAGGTAAGTCCCATCCTCAGAGAGACTGACAACCGCTATGTTGACAGTCAGTCCCGGGATGAAGTGAAAGGAAGGGCAGAGGAAAAGGACAGAAGCGAGAAAAAAAAAAAAAAAAAAAAAAAAAAAAAAAAAAAAACTATAGGGAAGTTATGGGGTTCCTGGGAACCCCGCAGTGCTGTGTGCTACCTGGGGTCGGTGGTGCAGACACACCAGAACCTGACTGGGGCTAATGCGGTGACTGTCACGCGGCCCAGAAGGCCCTAAAGCAGTCAGTTTGCCTAGCTGCAGCCCTTCCAATATTCGTGTACCAAACCCCTACCAAAGCCAGAGCCTCTCGCGCCAGGCGAAACTCAGATCTGCTCTAGGAAGATTCCCCAGAATAAGTAACCTCAGTGCGGCTATTTCTCGCCCAGGTTCAATGTTCACTGTTCAGTCTGGAGAGTGGCAAGTAGGTTGAGCCAGCAGCGCTCAACCCACACCTCACTGTGGGCAAGGTCCGCGGGACACAGTGCCTAGCCGGCTTTGCGCTGGGTCTCGGGACACTTAATGGCAGATCAGGTAGGAAGCTTGGAGATCTGCCCGCGGCAGTAGGAAGAACACATGATTTGTCTGTGCCCAAATCATCAGGACGGACTCAGAGGAGCTGGGGTAGACAAGGTCATTAGCTTCGGGACCTTCCAGGAAGGTGGTGGATAGTGACACAGGAGACCTGCCTGCGGAGCTGCGCCTTGTTGCTCAGTTTGACCCTAGAAGGGAAGTAAGTGAACTCAGGAATCTGTGAAGAGCCAAACGTGTTCGAACTGATTCACCGTGAATTAGCACATATCTCTGGGCGGGGGCCGGAATTCTCCTCTCCCCCTTGACGAGAATGTTGACCCCAGACGGAAGAATTCAGGCCCCAGCACTCCAGTCTTTTGAGATTGGACTCTATAGCTTCCCAGCTTATTGTGACTGAGCAATACACTTCCTTTCTCTGAACTTAACTTTAATACAGGAGAACCCAGCTCAGGAGTGTGTGCAAAGATCAAAAGAGGTTGGGATTTGCCAACGGTAAAGCGATTAACATACGTGAAGCATTAGTGTGCTCCCTGACAGTCACTCCTCACGTTTACAATGGGGCAATGAAGGCAGCCAGGCCAACTCGCAGGTTATAGCCTTATAAGGCATAATAGTATTTCAAGGAGGAAAACAAACTTTCTTCCTAATTTTGGCTATTCCTGTATTTCCAAATTGGAATGTGAGTCCTGAATCTTCAGATAACTACTCTCTCCAAACCCCAATTTTCAATTCAGCTGTTCCCAGCTCTGCCCTTATTACGAAATCTTACTAGCTAGCCCATCGAGACACCCTTCAGTCTCAGTCTCTGTCAGGGGGGTCTGAGCCTCACCCTTCCGGGGATACCCTGCGGGCAGAAGTGTGTGTGTGTGTGTGGGGGGGTCGAGGCTCAGTCAGATGCTAAGCCGGCAGGGGGCGCGGCCCATTTGAGGCCACAGCTCCCCAAGTCCAGGGTTTAGGTTAGCCTTGTGTCCCTCCCACCCGTCCCCGGTTCTTATAGCTCTATCCAAAAAGCTCAGATCAGCACTCGGAGCTGTACAAGTTCTGGGAAAAGGATCCCCCACCCCAAGCTGTTCTGGCCTTCCTTCCCTTCTGAACCCTATGCCGAGAAATTAGGGCAACGGAAGTCCTTCACCAGTCTAATCTCCCACAGTCGATCTCTGAGACCCCCTGGCCACAAAGGACCTCTACTCCTATCTCCATACCTACAGGCAAGTTGCGGGGCAGATCAGATATTAGAAGCAAGCTGCGGGGCAGACCAGATCTTAGAAGCAAGCGCTCTGGAGGAAAGGGAGGGCTCCAGGGCAGACCAGGCCCCGCCCCCCCGAGCGCGTATAAAGTGCTGGAGCCGGAGCTGGGTATTCAGTGGTTTCTTGGTGACACTAGGCAGAACAGCTCCGGCATTACCGCTTCTGACTTCTCATCGCAGTCAGTCTTAGACTTTGGGGTTTTGCCAGTTTCAGAAGGACCTCTCGGACTTTCTTCTTCACGTGCTTGAAAAATCACCCCTTCATCAGGTGAGGACCGCTGGCCTCCAGCGTGTTGGGAAGGGGGGCGGCTTTGTCGAAGGCCAGAAACTTGTAGCGCTGGATAAGGGGAACAGACTGCTCTGGGGTATTCACTCATGCCCCATTCATGCACACAGTTGGAGCTGTCCTGAGATCTTTCCTCGTTGGGCTATGATCCTAGCTATTGAGTTGGAAACCTCTGGAAGCCTGGCGCTGTGCAGTGGCTTCCTTTGCCTTGCTTGTCACCCACCCAGCGAGTGCAAAAGCCTCTGGCGCCTCTCTGTGCCAGGGGGAGATAAGCAGCTGGACCGAGCCCAGTGCGGCCAATATCCCCCCCCCCCCCCGCGCGCCCCACCGAGACTGTGCAGCTGGCCCGATTGCTCACATTAGGATCCTTGCTCCTTTCCAGGGTGTCTGAGCATCGCCACAGAATGAAGCTGGTTACCGTCATCCTGCTGTTCTTGGGTTCAGTCGCCTTCCTAGGCGCCGACACTGCACGCCTAGACGCATCCTCGCAGTTCCGAAAGAAGTGAGTTTGGGGCAGTGCTTTCTTCACTCCTAATACCTGGCAGTAATGGAAAACCGATGGATGGTCCAGAGGGGTTAGAAGGGAGAGGATACACGAGCTGGCTGGGACACTTCTTGAACACAGGCCAAATGCATCTGCTTGTGTTTTCTAGGTGGAACAAGTGGGCGCTAAGTCATGGGAAGAGGGAACTTCAAGCATCCAGCAGCTATCCCATGGGGCTTGCTGATGAGAAGACATCCCCTACTCAGGCTCTTGATCTGCTCCAGGACGAGCAGAGCACTCTCAGCACCCCACAAGCCAGGTAACTATGCACTCCCCAGAGGATGTGCCCTCTCCATTGCCCTGGCCCCGGGAATTGTCAGGGCTGGACTGCAGCTCCCGTGGAGGGAGCAGGTTCCAGGTCCCTCAGGTTCCGTTTGACTCTGATCCCAGGTGGTTGGGCATTTAAAAAACAAACAGACAAACAAAACAAAACTCTAGTTGTTGAGGTCTCAAGTATCCTTCCTTCTCTGCAGCATTCAGAACGCAGCCCATATTCGAGTCAAACGCTACCGCCAGATTATGAACCAGGGCTACCGCAGCTCTGGATGCCGCTTTGGAACCTGCACAGTGCAGAAATTGGCCCATAAGATCTACCAGCTCACAGACAAAGACAAGGACGGCTTCGCCCCCAGGAACAAGATCAGCCCTCAAGGCTACGGCCGCCGGCGCCGGCGTTCCCTGCCAGAGGTCCTCCGGGCCCGGACTGTGGTGTCCTCCCAGGAGCAGACACAAGCAGCCCCAGCCTCCCAGGAGCAGCCGAATCATCTCCAGGCTCTTTAGGATATATGTGCGGGTGGCAGCATTGAACAGTCGGGCGAGTGTCCATTGGCGCCTGAGGAATCAGAGCTTCGCACCCAGGGCGGACTGAGACAATCCTGCAGAGATCTGCCTGGCTGCCCCTAGGGGAGGCAGAGGAACCCAAGATCAAGCCAGGTTCACAACAGAAAAAGAATTACAGGCATCACCCTCCGGGCAGGGGTCTGAGCCACTGCCTTGCCCGCCACAAACTGGTTTCTCACGGGGCATAAGCCTCATTACTACTTGAACTTTCCAAAACCTAGCGAGGAAAAGTGCAATGCTTGTTGTACAGCCAAAGGTAACTATCATATTTAAGTTTGTTGCTGTCAAGAGGTTTTTTTTTGTAACTTCAAATATATAGAGATATTTTTGTACGTTATATATTGTATTAAGGGCATTTTAAAGCAATTATATTGTCACCTTCCCCTATTTTAAGATGTGAATGTCTCAGCGAGGTGTAGGGTTTGGTTCCGTGTGTGTGTGTGTGTGTGTGTGTGTGTGTGTGTGTGTGTGTGTGTGTGTGTGTCTGCTGGTGTAGATGTGTGTGTCTGTGTGTGTGTGTGTGTGTGTGTGTGTGTGTGGTGGAGAGCGCCTGATTACCGCCTGTGGAAGAAGAAAAAACATTGTGTCTCCGTAAAGTCTATTTACATAAAATATGTGATCTGAGAAAAAGCAAACCAATAAACTGTCTCAATGCTGATTCATTCTCGGTTCATGCTTCTAGGGAAAGATTGTCTTGGTTTGGATCGCCTGGGAGTGTTGGGATCTTGCCTCTTGTTTTGGGAATCTCTCTATGCATGGGTTTATCTGTCATGAGCTCCATTGTACATGTGGATGCACAGAGCGCGTGTCCTGGGTGGGAGTCAAGATTTCTCTGAGATACCCAAGTTCACCGCCTCGAGTGGCGACCAGACCCGGTTGGGTAGGACGAACCCTAGTTGTTAGGCGAGCCTGGGCTCCCTTGGTTGCGCACGCAATACACTCCCAATTTTATTGGGTTGCTCCCCGAACCTGCGCTAAGGCGCTGTTTGGAGACTTATGGCGATCTTCTAGGCTTTCTAAGCAGAGAGTTTATGCTGCAGCTGCGGGATTTAAAGTAAAAAGTTTACCCCTACAAAATGCTCGCACGTCTCTGGGAAACATGCTAGTAGCCCCAAGTCTTCACTGGGCCCTAGCGCTCATAAACGGGGCTGTGGCACCCCCTGCTGGTCATCATGCGTGGTTCCCAAGAGTTTTGGAGTAGTACGTGCGGTTTAATAAGTTCTCCTACGTGGGAGTCAGCACACAGCCTTAATGAAAGAGGAAAGAAACAAAAAACAAAAAACAAAAAACAAAGCAGTTTGCAGATGCCAACCGGGCTCCCCCCGACCTGCACGCGGGCTCCCTGTGCTGGGACAGTGACTCAGCGCCCACACGCTGTGCAGCGAGCAGCTGGTGGCCGGAGGCGGGCGGGACGGACGTGCAGCCGGAACCGTGCTCCTCGGAGGGCCTGAGACCTTCATTGTTCCGTCTCCCCTTCCAGCTCTCCTCTTCCTTCCTCTTTCCCAAGCCTTTTTCATGCTCCTTCCACTTCTCTCTGGCCTTCTCTCCCTTTTTCCTTCCTCCTTGCTTTCTGTCTCCTCCTGATCCTGTGAGTCGTGCTGGATCCTAAGCTTGAAGACCCGGAGCATAGGGGCTATTAGAAAGGGAGGCTAATGTGGTGCCATATGCCTGCCTACCTAGGAGGCGACTGATTGCTCAGCTAATCCCTGAAGATCAATCATTGTGCTTTCCTAAAAGTTTTGCTGGTCCTTTGGACATGCTGAAATGCGTACCTCTAACTGGTTTAGGGTCTCTGGAAGCTGTTCAGGGGATGAAAGTATTTGGGGATGGCATTACAGTGGCCCAGCTATGGGGCCGAATGTTTTTGTTTTTGTTTTTGTTTTTTTCCTTGCAGAAGAAGCCTATATACACAATGAAAAGCACTGGTCCTGAGTCTGAATGCAAACACAACCTGCCTCAGGAAAAAGCAGCCAGTGGCACGCAGAATTCCCCTCACAAAGCCTCAATTGCTGGCACCTGGCTGTCAGCAGTATCAGTCCCATCCAATTCCCTGTCCTATTTGATCTTAACAATTTCGTGAGGCTCCCAGAATCAAGTAGGTCATAAATGCAGCAACAGACCATCCTGGTCCCAAGGACTTCTTGCTAAATATTCACTTGGACCTGTGCCAGGCACTGAAGCAGCAGAGGGCATGTATGAATGAGGAAATGACTAGAAACTCCAAGAGTGCAATTTCTGTGCCAGTGGGTTCAGGGTGGTCTGAAGGGGCTACGGAAACTGCTAAGAGCAGAGACCACTTTGACCTCATAGACACTGGCTCAAGCCATTCACTCGTTTTCGTTCTTTAAGCCAAGGTTTGTCCTGTAGCCACAGAGCCCTCCAGCCAAAACCTCACTCTGGCAGAACTTCAATCTACCAGACAAAGCTGCCAAAGACAGGTTGGGCACTGGCTTAGGGGCAGCTGGGAGCAAGGAACAGGCATCTAGCCTTCATCTGAGGGAGTCTTATGACTCAGGGAATTTAAGGCAAGTGTAACTACAGTGGTTCAGCCCTGAGAGCAACCAGACAGCTGCTCAGCTGGAACCTTTCCCATGGCTAAACCTGTGACTTGAGACATTTCTGAGCAAACAGAGACCCTCTTATGACCAGCCTGGTACAAGCATTTGGATTAACTAAAGGTCAGCATAAAGCCTTGGGCTCTTTTCTGGGAGCTCTTCAGATTGTTTTTTTTTTTTTTTTTTTCATAAGGTGTTGAAGGTTATCGGAATAGGGCCTCCTGATGCCAAGAACACATCATTTATCAACGGTGTTGAGTCATTTTTGAGCTGATTTGAACCTGTCCACAGCTGAGAAGTAGTCACAGTTTTTATCTGTAGCTACTGTTGCTGGCTGTGGGAATGGTATCGTCCATTTGTAATCAACCAAGGCTACCAGACAATTTCTTGAAAATTCAGCACCAACAGGTTGTCTAAACAGCTAAGGGTGGAAAGGAGACTTGGGGTGGGTGGGATAGAAACTGATTCTTTTTTTAGCATTCACTTGGTGTCAGATATTCTCCTAGCCACTTTATGCACCTTATCTCACAGAGAGTTCTTATGGTGGCTTTGTGAAGTAGGTGTTATTATCTCTATTTGTAGATAAGGAAACTGAACCTCAGAGACAGAAAGTAACTCAGGCAAGGTCACACAGTGAGTAGTCAGTGAGGGAACCTGGATTTGTACCCAAGTGCCGCAGGCTATTTCGATGCTACAAAGACTTAGGCAAAGTGAGATCATTTTAACCTTTAGATTCTCAGGCCAGATGTCCCCAAATGTCCTCCAACTCCAAGACTGGCTTGGGTAGGTGATTTACACCTGTGGTTCTAAGAGCTTTCCATGGGGGCCAGTAGGATGGGGAAGGATAGTCACTGTAGCGGTGAGCTCAGTACAAGCAGAAGAAAGAAATGAAGTGAGTTTTACATTCTCGGTCTTAGTCTGAAGCAGGGATTATAAATCAGGAATAGCCCTTTCTCATCCTGAGCTAAGTCACTGACCTCTTTGGTTTGCACTGCCAAATATAGTTAGAACATACACTGAATGGCCTCCAGAGCTGGCTTCTGAGAGAAGAGTCTTCTGAGCTATTCCTGGCCGTGCACAGTCCTGCACTGTAGTTCTCCAGTGGCCTAGAAGAACACCTGTGTCTACAAAACTGCAAATAGCATTTCCACCCTTGAGGTGGGACCTTTTGTTTTGGCATCTGCTGTTCAAGGCAGCTTTTGAGAGGAGGTTCTGAAATTCTGAGGGAGCTCCACAAGCTGCCCCTCCTTTTCCCAGCAGGGGAGCAGGAGGCCTTGTTATCCTGAGTTCCAGGGAGGGTTTTGCCAAAGCTGGATTGGAGACTTCATCTTCATTTGCATGGGAAGAAGGGTGAGGCTAGATAGATATCTGGTGGTCCCACTGGTCTTGTTCCAGAGCTATTTTGGAACATTCTGGAAAAACAATAAAATGACTGTGGCCACACAGGCAGCTGATTTTAGTAGACTATTATAGGTTTATCTAACAGCAGGAAGTACTTGACTTATTACATAGTATTTATTCAGCACAGCAAAGACTCACCTTTATTCCCATCTCTAGCCATAACCACCTTTAGTATTTTAGTCTATACTTTTTTAGATACTTTAATATATTATAGATACATACATTATAGACACGTAGACATGTGTATTAATATACATCTAATACTCAGACATATTCTTTTAAGAATAGAACTCTTGGGTGGGGAGAGCTGAATTAAACACACTTGTCATCTTAAGGCAAATTATCATTACCAGCTGTGCAACATTTCTCTCATAATATCTATTATATTTCTCTTATAATATTTATTTTATATACTATTATATATACTATACATCGTGTTATATATGCTATATATATATTAATTTCATACCCTTTCCTGAATCCTTGATAGCAACCCTATCAAGGATTTTATTTTATTTTTGGCACTAATATGCTATGTAGCCAAGACTGGCATTGAGCTCCTGATCTGCCTGCCTCTACCTCCTGAGTGCTGGATTGCATGTATGTACCTCTATACATGCTTCTGAACAGCCCTTCTTAGTATGTTTGATATACGTATATGTGCAAGAGGGATTGTCAAATATATCATTTTACAACTACATGTTTTAACATGTAAATCTATCATTACATTCTTTTGTCATTCCCAGGTTTTTATTTAACACAAGAAATTTTACTACTTTTTATTTTTCCTATCTTTAAAAAATAGTTTTTAATTTTGTATATATTTTTTATCTTTGTGTATGCATGCTTAGGTCTATGTGCACCGTATACATGTAGGTGGTGGCTGAGGCCAGAAAGCATTTGTTCCCCTGCAGCTAGAGGGACAGGTGGTTGTGAGTCATCTGATGTGGGTCCTGGGAACTGAACCAGGGTCCTCTGGAAGAGCAATAAGAGCTCTTAACCACTGAGCAAGTTCTCCAGCTATCTCTAGTCTTGTTTTTTTAAGTATACAACTTAAATTTATTATTATTATTATTAGTGGTGGTAGTAGTGTGCATGAATGTGTGTGTGTACACACACAAGCATCCACGCCACCACACACTTGGACAAGTTAGGAGAAAACTTTCAATAGTTGGATCTTTCCTTGTGCTGTGTGCGTTCCAGCCTCAAACTTAAGCAGTCAGGCCTTTACCCAGTGTACCTTCTTACCTGCCCTTTCTTGTCTCTCAGTGAAGGGTACTTGTGTCACCTCTGCCACAAGAAACGTGTAGATAAACATCCAGTTCCATGACTTCTTATGGAGCTGAGTATACATTTCTTAGTCAACTATATCCAGAATTTTCACCATTTAGTCAAGAGGCTTCAGCATTCAGATGATCCTAAATTGTAGGAGATGCATTCGAGGCAACCTTGTACAGGTTTCTAGTCTTACCAGCAGTGCGTCAGACTTCTCAGCTCCCCATAGCTTTGCCAATTCTGGTGTATGTGATGGATAATT